ACAAACTCTCAAAAGCTAAGGGACCCCTAATTGTAATAAAAGAAAAAAAAACACAACTTTTTACTTTCATTTTTATAATCCAAGAATATTCTTATTTGATAGTTAAATTTTTAAAAAAATTATTTGTATCACCAAAATGGAACATTTTTATATTTGAAATGTATATATAATAAAATAGTATATAACATCATACATAACATTAATATTTAATAATTCAAATAATAAAACTACAAAAGATTAATCTTTTTCAAGACATACAAAATGTTGAAATAAGTTTTTATTAAATTTAATAAAAAGTTTTTTTATACATAATTAATTATAAAGTTTTATTAATCTCAATTTTAATACTTTTAGGATTGAGTTTAAGTATCCACAAATAATTTTTTTTTATAAAAAAAATACATAATTATTGTATTAGAATTATAAAAAATAAATACTTCTCTTTCTAATAAATGATTTATCTTTAATTTTGAGAGTTAACGTTACCAAATTATTTTCCAACTATACTGAATTTTACGGATAAATTATTGGCAGATATTTTTGAAAGTGTAAAAAGCTTGAAGGAGGATTTGATTTGGTGGCCTCTTGGGCTTGGTCTTGGATTGCGGGAAAAATGGCAGTGTTTGATAAGAGAGAGAGAGAGGGAAACAGAAAGCAGTAGCAGAGAGTGGTTAGGGGTTTGAACGACAGGGAGTGGGTCATGTCTCCGTCCGAGTGAGAAGTTCCCTCCTCTTTCCTCATACACACAAACATGCCCTTCAACAATCATCCATCCAACGCATTCGTCCACACATCGCCTTCAACCCAGCTTTGTGGTAAAGTTGGTTTGTATTTATTCTCATTAATTACTTTGATTTTTAATGGAGGTTTCTATATCAACTCTGAAGCTTCTCATCATTATTCCCTCTCCCCCCTCCCAAGCATCTTCTTCTTTGAGACACGATCAAATATTAAATGTATAAACAAAATTTCAATCTTTTGATAATACATATGTCTTCTCTTACAGTTCCAATCTTTCAGTACTAAAAAATTACTTTTTTTCAATGTTTTTTTGTTGGAAATTAAATCTTAAAAGTATTTACTAAGATGAATACTTCTCAAATTATTTTTTTAAGCTTTAATTTATTTAAAAATTGATTTTTGGAGAAGAAAAAAAAACTTATTTAATTATAATATTTGTTTATGAATTCCTGGATAAAATGATAAGTTTTATAAATCATCTTAAACACTTCTAATTAAGTTCATATTTTAATATATATTTTTGTTGATTTAAAGTTTTTTTAGTATTTTTATTTTATTTTATTTTTTTACCTTTCAAATTCTTCCATTTTCTCTTTTTCCAAACTTACAAATAAAACCTTGAATAATAATATGATTTATTTGATATTAAGTATTCTATTTTTTCGGTTTACAAATACTAGTAGCACTTGAATTTAATGAATGCCAAACTATTTGTATAATTAAGCTACAATGTAACATTAAAATAATCTATTTAGTGGATGAAAAAAATAGATGAAATTATTTACCAATTTTATTATACTATTTTTTTAAGTGAAATTATTTATTTTAAAGGGAATAAATTCGTTTAATTACGAGGTTCAGAAAGTACATAAAATTTATATTCATATTTTGATATTTGGACTTACAATTATTAGATATTTATTGAATTAAAAAATAATATAAAGGAATTTTGTTTACTGTGTAAAATGACAACTATGTAAATAAATAATTCAAAAACAATCTGGAGACTGGATAAGGTCCTCTTTGGGTTCTTTTAAATATGTTGTTAACGTAATAGTAAAATTGGCGCTATAAAGTAGAGGTCTAAACAGAAATAGCAACTAATAGTCAAACATAATTTAATCAAAAGTAGATATTTTTCAGAAATGTGCTAAATAGGAACTAAATTACATAAAGGAAATAAGTAATAAACTGGAATTAAAATGCAGAAAGGTAAATGTGTAGGAATGTAAATATGCGGGAATGTAAATGTACGACTCCTCACAACAGCGAATAACGGCTACTGTGAGTCTCCTCGTAGCTGGTGTCTGGCGCAGTGCAGGTTTTCAGTGTTTCAAAGAATTTAGGTACGGTGTAAAGGTGCAAAAAGTCGTCCTCTGTAAAATGGCACTTTGGAGTATTTATAGGCAGGAAGACTACCACCATTCTTCTCCTTTTGTGGGCACTTCTTAGTAATTATCTTCAACTGTTGATGCCCATTATCCACGATTGCTTGTGATCGTGTTGTTGGTTGGAGCTTTTTTCGTAACCGCTATCGCCCACGATCTCCTTTGCGTAGTGGTGAATGTTGATGACTGCTGGTAACCGCTTTTAGATTTTGCAATGACTTGACCTATCAATACTTTTTATTTTTCTATCTTTCAAGTGTTTCTGAGAGAACTTTAGGAGGCTTATTTAGTGTCATGGCCTTAGAATAATTTGTTTTTGACTTCTCTTTTCTACTAATTCTGTAGTTTTGAGAGCTTGTCATGGTCTTGTGGACTTAATATTTTCTTTACTCATTTTTGTTTTTCGAGCAATTCTGGAGTTTTGAGAGCTTGTCTTGGTCTTGTAGACTTAGAATATTTTTTTTACTCAATTTTGTTTTTCGAACAATTCTGAAGTGACTCCGAAGTTCAATTAGGTTGGTAGACTTAGAATATTTTCTGATCACTTCTTGTTTTTCGAGCAGTTTTGGGTGTAAAAAACTTGAAAACTGCTCGAAAAGGTCATCAATTTTGTGGACTTAGAATATTTTTTGATTACTTCCTATTTTTCGAGCAATTTTGAGTATCAGGGACTTGAAATCTCCTTGAAAAGGCCATCAATTTTGTGAACTTAAAATATTTTTTTGTCAGTTTTGTTTTTCAAGTAGTTTTTGAAGAAAATCAACAAGGTGAAAAAAATATCTAAAATAGCTCAAAATGTGTCTTTTTGATATGAAACAAAAAGGTTTTGGATAACTTTTCAATACTTCTTAAGTTTAAACCTATTTTTAGGCTCCTTTCATATTTTTAATATTTTATCAAAATGTATATTTCTTTAACATATTTTTAACTTAAAAAATTTTTCTTACCCCAATCAAGTTTGTAAATGACAAACATTTTCGAATTCAACATATCTGACTAAAAAAATGAACAAGTTTATGAAAATGGAAAATGTTTCGTTTAAACCGCAAATGTGTTGCAATATTTAAAGAATGAGCACGTGCGGCATGGTGGCTATTTGACCAAAAGATTATCCTTTTTAAGATTAGAAATTTCCGAATGTTCTTTCTTCGACAAACCACACGAATCTCCATTTCGAGTTTGGCTATTTAAATAATATTCTTAAGAAGTTTCAGATGCGATTTTAAGATTTTGATTTTTTTTAATATTATAATATATTAAAGACAAAAGGATATAATTTTTGTCAAATAAAAGTTCATTATAATTGATTACAAAATTTATTAATTAAATTTAATACTGTAAAAGTTATTTTTTGACAGTTTTATTAAATTGTTCAACAATATCAGCAGATTGAAATCCTATTTTTATTGCGAACTTATGCAGTCTAAAAATCCCATTCAATGAGCGCTGAAGTGACCTTTACAATTACGTGAGAGACTCGTACCCTAAAAAATAATAAAATTAAAGATTTTACGAGGTAACTAGTTGGAAAGGGGGGGGGGGGGGGGTCACCATAACTATTCTTTAAAAATGATTCTTCAGACACATTACGACAAAATTATTTACTATTTTATGTGGCAATCCACTACAAAATGATGAATTCAAGGTTTGTGACATACGGAGTTATACAGAGTATATTTTATATATCGAGCTTCAGTTGACCAAAATTCAGAAAGGAAAATACAGGCCAACGTGTCAATGTGTCATATGCAAATTGGCAAATAGAAAGTTACAAAGTCAAATCCACCAAAAGGAATCCAGCGACCTCATGAATCGTGATCATGATAGCTGAACACAAATTTCCTCGTCCCCTATCCAATAGGACCGTCACAAGCTTGAGGTTGTGTAGAAGAGAAGGGTATTAACTGTTTTTTTTTTTTTATAAATAAATTTAATGTATTAAATATAAATATATTTGAAAAACTGTCTTATTGATAAATTATTTTGGAAGATTAACATATCCGGACGTTAATTTTACCAAAATTTTAATTAGAAGTTTATTTAAAATAAAAAATTAGCTTTTAAATATATATAGTTTTAAACAATGGATTTATTTTAGTTAGTCTTAAATTGAAGTTGTAAAGAAACTAGAGAAATTTTGCGGATGAAATATCGCAACGGCGACTTAAATCTAAAATACTTTTAAAAAGGGTGTTTGATCCAGCTGGTCAAACCTACTATTGGCAAATTTCCCTTATAATCATTAATCGTGGACGTCATAAAAAATGCGGAAGGAAGGAGGAGTCGCAATAACTAGTCTTTTTCCGTTGGGTTTCCCTTGTAACGAAAGAAAAGAGGGAACACAACTTTATGAAATAGAGGCAATCATTTACTAGTTTTGATGTTCATATGGTAAGCATGAATCATAAAAACTCAAAAGCGCCGCATTTACAGGTAGAGAACGAGGCGAGTAACAAGCGCGGTGCCTATGTACAAGTTATTATGCAGTTGATAAACACATAATAAAGCGGAACCTGTACCTTGGCCCTTTTTATGTAAAATTATTTTTTATTTTATTGCAAATGAAAAGGGGTGTGAAATTATAATTAATTTCTTAGAAATTTGTTGTTAATTTATTTATTTTTTCCCGAAGAATGAATGTGACTAGTGACTTAAAATAGTGATGTTCCAAATTGATTTTGCATGAGGAGAGGGGATAGGGAAGAGGGAAGGGAAAAAAAAAGCAGTTTGTCGCGCGTCACGTCCCAATCCCAATAAAAAGAACAAAACAGTGTCTGATGACAAGTACAAACCCTTACCCCACACACCCAAATCACGTTCACAAAGCATAGGCCTCTGTTTAGCTGTTTCATTTCATTTCATTTCATACTTTGCCTTTTCTCAATCTTTGTTCACATTCATATATTCATTCATTCACCCTCGACCCATAATATACCCCGCGCCATGCCATCTCGACAACTGTCCACGTCGGCACCAGCTCCGAACCACCACCGCCACAACCACCACGTCTTAACCCCTCTCCTCGCTTCCACCGCCTCCGTCTGCTCTTTAATCCTTTTACTTCTCCTCTGCCTTCGGAAGCGCAAACGCACCACTCCATCCTCCGACTCCGATTCAAACCCTCCTCACCCCTACTCCTACGCGCTCCTCCGACGCGCCACCAGCTCCTTCTCCACGCGCCTCGGCCATGGCGGCTTCGGCCCCGTCTTCTCCGGCTCTCTCTCCGGAAAACCCGTCGCCGTGAAGCTCATGGACTCTGCTTCCCTCCAAGGCGAGCGCGAGTTCCACAACGAGCTCTTCTTCGCCTCCAGGCTCCGCTCTCCCCTCGTTGTCCCCGCCATCGGCTTCTCCTCCGACCCCAAACGCCGGCGTTTCCTCCTCGTTTACCACCTCATGCACAACGGCAACCTCCACGACGCCCTTCTCCGCCGCAAGACCCCCCACCTCGCGCTATGGAAAAACCGTTTCTCCATCATCCTCGACATCGCCAGAGGAATCCAATACCTCCACTCGTGCGACCCACCCGTCATTCACGGCGACATTAAACCCAGTAACATTCTTCTCGACGATTGCTTCAACGCCAGGATCGGCGATTTCGGCCTTGCCAGGCTGAAAACCGAGCCCCAGTTGGAAGTAGAAGTGGAAATCGACGGGAAGAGAAAGAAGGAGGAGTTGGAGAGCGACGGCGGGTCGGAATTGGAAACTCAGAGCGTGAACACGGAGCAATCGTTTGAAGGCGAGACGCAGAAGAAGAATGGGAAAGGGCTAAGCAGCAACAATGAGGTTGTTGGAGTTGCAGGGTGGGGTTCGGATTACGTGATGGATTGGATTGGGAAGGAGGTGAAGAAGGAAAGGGCGAAGGAGGAGTGGGTGGGTTCTGCGTCGGGTAGTGGAACGGTAGAGAAGAAGAAGAGTAGGAAGAAGTTGGAATGGTGGGAATCGATGGATGAGGAAAAGGGCGTTGCTGGTTGCGGAGTTTTGAATTTGAAGAAGGATAAGAGAAGGGGCGCGAGAGAGTGGTGGAAGGAGGAGTATTCTGAAGAGCTTGCAAGGAAGAAAAAGAAAAAGAAAAAGAAACAAAGCGACAACGATGACTGGTGGGAGACAGATGATGGTTTTAACAAGGATGTAAATGTAACAAACAAGGGTAAGAAAAAGCGTATTAGAAAGAGTAGTGGTAGTGTAGATTCGTGGTTTAGTGGGGAGCTGCGTAGAGCTAGATGGAATAGTTATGATTCAAACAGCGGAGAAATAGGGAAGAGTGGAGGTGTAAGCAGTACTCAAAGCATGAGGGGAACGGTTTTTTATGTTGCTCCTGAGTATGGATATGACGGAGATGTGTCAGAGAAGTGTGACGTGTACAGTTTCGGGGTTTTATTGCTTGTTATCGTTTCTGGGAGGCGCCCACTTCAGGTGACTGCTTCACCATTATCAGAGTTTCAACGTGCAAATCTGGTGTCTTGGGCTCGTGAATGTGGGCGCAGAGGGAAGCTCCTTGAAGTGGTTGATGAGTCCATTGAGTGGTTGAATAAAGAGGAGGCTCTTCTCTGCATGACGGTTGCGCTTCTTTGTTTGCTAAAGTCACCCGCTCGTCGTCCTTCCATGAAAGAGGTTGTGGGAATGCTCAGCGGGGACTTGGAGGCGCCCCAATTGCCGGTTGAATACTCACACTCACAAGAATCTCACTTGCCGTTCAAGTCTCGGAAAGGAGGCCGCTGAGGCCAGTTCTTCACATTGATTTCAATTGCTTATTAGAGTGACGGTGGGAATTGTTCAATTTCTTTCACTTCTCCTCGTTTTTATTTTAACTGTTTAGTAATTAGGAGTAACATTGACCCATTTTCTTTCATGCTGACTTTTAGGCTTCCCTTGGAAATTGTGGCCTATCCTTCTTTAGTGTTAGTGCAGTTGCAGGGCCATCCCATCTTTCTAGTTCACATAACTTACATAACTTTTTGCTAATGAAAAAGCAGCCTCCTTTTTCTAGACCCAGTCAATCTTTGTTCGGCCTCCACTATTCTCTAATGCTTATGCAAATTTTGAATTGGCTTCGTAGTTTGCACACATCTTTCCCCCCTATGTTTAGTTGAAAAGCCAAGTACAAGTTACGGGTCAAGAATGAACGAATAAATAGTCAAATTTTTTTTTCTTAAACAACATGTAAAAACTAAAAAGCATAGAAAATAAAAAATAGTTTTACTTATAATTTTTAACCCGTGTCTTAGGATTTTCTCTCAGTTCTTTTAACTTGTTTTGAAGGACATGATTTTATTGAAAATAATAAAATATCATAAAATTTATTATTTTTTAACATATATCAACTTTAAATGTTATAATTTTTATAAAAAAAATATTATCTTTTAACATATACCTTAGGCATATAATAGAAAATTTATTTTTTCAAAAAGTTATTATTCATGCAAAATTGGAATTTTGTTTTCCACAGAAGCAAAATCTGATCTGATTATGTGCTTTCTATAAACGCAAACTGTGCCTTTAATGGAAGTACTTTATCTCAATCAATGCTGCAGCAGGGTTACTTACCCTTTTTAATATGCATTATTAATTGGTTCCTTTCGGCCTTGATTTTATAGTTCCTAGGCCTTTAGCGGGCCAGGCTTCCTTAGAGATCATTTGGTTATTTATGCTGAGCTACATGAAAATGCAAACTTGAAGCCTAAAAAATTATTTTATGCGTGGTAATAAATTTCGAACATGATGTATGTATTCTTTTACTAGTGTACACGCTATATTTCTAGGAAAGAAAAGAAAAATTAAGGAAAAACAAGCTGTGTAAGAAAAATGATGCAAAACAAGAGCATAGCTGATAAATACCGAACTGCATATGCAATCTGATAATAAGCGACTTGCTTTCTGATGGAAATCAAATCTCCATAATTATGACAACAAACGGAAGGAGAATGAGTTCGGGGTTGAATCTAATCCCTAGATAATTCTCATTCATAACAGAATCGTCTGCTCTATCTATACACTGTCAATATGAAACCTGGGTCAGGCAACCGAATATACACTGATCATACCCTTTGACATGAGAAATTTCCGTAGTCCTATTTTTCTAAAGAAAATCACAGCATATCACTTGGTCCACAGCCAGTAGCAGCAGAAGGATTAGATTATTGTGAGATTGAGCCCATTTTGGCAACTACATGAACTGGATGGAGATTGGTGCTCTGAATTCCATATACTATAAAACCCACGAGCCCAACTCAATTAATTGTGCAAGCCCATTGAATCTAGATCTCTTGATTTCCATACAGAGGAGCAATTTCCACTTCTTTTCACCTTTTATTCCTTGGAAGTAAGTTCACATAATGGTATCTTTCAAACTTATTTTCTTATTATTGACAAAAAAAAAAACTTATTTTCTTATTGACTGCGTTGGAGACCAATCTTACTAGCATTGAAGAAGATCCACTTTTCAAGCGATAGTAGAACAAGGAAAAAGTTGCATCCTTGCCGCAAGATTGGGGTCGATAATAAACTAAATTTGGTTTGTATAAATTACACATTTTAGTTAAAAATTGGTTATTAGTTTTGAATTTATAAAAAAAATTGTTATTATTATTATTTTAAAAATAAATAAATAACATTATACAAAATTAATTTATTTTAAAATTTAAAACTAAAATTACTTATTTATATCATTTTGGAAACTAATATGAGAATTTACACTTAGGATCCTTCCCGCACAACTCTCACGTGCCTTATAATTGATGACGGATCCTAGTATCCGAAAGACCCATTTTTCCATTAGCACAGCAATGGCGTATCATTAAGGCAAAGTTGATTCGTCCGTGTCTCATGTCGCCGGAAACATATGGTCAAATAATTCTTAATTATATTTAAGCCATCATATATGGAAAAAAATTTATAAATACTAAAATATGAAATTTTTAAAAAATTAAAATAGAAGAATTTATGTAAAAGATGTTAATGAAATTTTTTTATTTTGTTGGTGAAATTGAAAAAAAAAATCGTTAATAGTAATTTTCATTTTAAAATTTTTGACAACTTAGACAATTTTTATTACTTGAAAAATTTTAAAATTTAAATGTAAATATTTCCTTTATTTTTTAAAAAAATCCGAATAATCATATAAAGATATTAGCAGTAAGCTATTTTTACTCTGCAGCACTTCAGTCCTCAAGAAAAAAATGCTAATGGCAATTTTTTACCATCTCTGCACTTGTTTTGGCTCGACATTCCATCAATTATTCTGTACCGAAAATTGGTAATGATGATTTTTAAAACTTTATATGTGCATAAATATTTCCAAAATCCAGTATTATTGTATTTTTTTTTGAAATCCCATACTAAAAATAATCTTCCTTTCTTGCCACCTTCATAAACACTTACGCCAGGAATTCTTTTGCCGATTTGATGGGCGACCTGCGTTATACTTGTATATAAAAGTAATTTTATTAACATCCATTTTCAATTAATTTTAAGTATATAAATATTTATATTTAAAATAAAATTAATTATTTTTAAATATTTGAAATAGACTAATGTTAATATTATCTTATAAAAATATATATTTTTACATTAAAAAGAATATAAAACATTGTAAAAATTTATTATTAAAAAAATATATCTTTGAATTTATTTTGTATGCGTTTTAATGTTTTTGGGCCTTAAACTTACCTTTTAGTTTTGTAAACATGTTATGGCAAATTACTTGGGCTTCATTTTTTTGTATGGAATTAATCTATTAATTTACCCCACAGTAAGTGGGTGAAGCCGAAGACAGAAATCTTGTGAAGCAAGCTAAAAAGCATTCTTATTTCTTACACATTTGTGTATATATATATGGTTTCAGTTTGGAATCACGTCGCAGGTATGAGTATTTGCGGCTTTGAAAATGATTTTTGGTGAGGAAAAGCGCCCACCAAACACGCTATGAATAGGATATCATCAAAAGCATGAAATTTAAATGATTTTGAACCGGTCAAAGTTGATTCTTGCAACTTGCAACTTGCAATTAAGTTGTGTATGCTTATATATAAATTAGAATTTAACTACATTTTAATTAAGTTTTGTTTTCTTCCTTTTTTCTAAACCTTGAATCGATATTTTTTAATGAAATTCATTCATTATTAATGCAATATTAACTAAGTCAATCACTTAAACCAATTGCAAAAAATAGTTTAGTCAACTTAAAATCAACTTGAAAAAACCATGTCAATTTCAAACGTTTTATTTTCACCATTTCGTTCACCATGAAACTCCTAATTAACAGTTACACAGAATAAAATAAATAGAAATTTATCCTGTCATATATGATAGAAGCACATAAAATATGCATTGCATAAATGAATCATGATCATAGAAACAAAACAGAAGTTAATCTCACAAGCAGAACCAGAAGTTCAGATTCAATCTTAGAAACAATTATTCACCTATGTAAATGAATATCAACGGGATAGATATTAGCTAGTAAGAGGCATATACACACATGCAGATATATACATGTAGATATTCAGATATTTGCAGAGCATATACTCGATCAACAGTGATGGAATTAATTACTAATAAGCTAAGGAGAAGCATGAAGCGGGCTAGTTATGCTATCTTAAAATAAACTTCTTCTTAATGTTATATCTATGATATCATTTCTGATGTAGTTATATTCTCCCGTCTATACACGTTCATCGCTTGAGTTGAGATAAAATGCAAGCAAAACGAAAAGGTAACTATTACTCTACATCGAAGATTTCAAGAGAAAATATCTAAAGCAATACTCGGAATACAAAGTATATCTCGAAAGAAATAAATACAAAAAACTGGCTAAACATAAGCAGTCTGTACTATAAAAATTTGATCTGATCACATACATGCAATGGCAGTAGCACAAGTAAGTCTTGGGCTAAACTTCAGAACCATTTTTGTTTGTTTTTATTTTCTTTTCGGCTAGGGGTAGATATATGCTAGTTAAAGTGGTTTAGGAGTAACTAATATAAAAATTAAAAATATCGGGGGAAACTTAACGAAATTAAAGCTATATATTTCCTAAGAATAAAACTAAGATAGTAAAAATTGAGTAAACATGTATTACCTCATTGTATATATCGTATCGTGGTTTCCATTTGATAGAAAATTATTAAATGGTTATACATAGTTTAGAGCAAAGGTTTCTACCAATTTATTTATGTTAAACTCGGGGACAATCAGTTGGTCATGAAGGTCATTCATTATCAATAAAATTTCAAAATTTTTATAAATGGTGGACAACAGATTTCTCACGGTGAACAGTGAACTTCATAATTTTGACATGTAATAAGAGACAAATTTAGGTTATCAAAGGAATGAAACAAAATGTTGTGTAAATTTCCAAAAGCAAAAAAGCTGTGTGGAAGGAAAAAGCAAATTTTCTCTACACAAGTTTCTTCTTTCTCTTATTTCCAACAATGGAAGCAAATGTCTACACTGTTAAAATTTTTAATGTAAACCTGAGGTAAACTTGAGAAAGAATAAACTTAAAATTTAAAAGATAAATTTATTTAAAATATATAAACAATTTAAACTTACGTTATTCTTACTTATAGTCTTTAATTTGTTAATAATTTTTCAATATAAAACTAATATAACGGAGAGAGGTCCGAAGGGTTCCAATATATACATTGCAAGCAAACTCACTCCAATGTATTAAATTATCAACCAGTTAACTCACTCTTATGTTAATTTCCCGTCAACGTACGAGCAGATTGTGAGCCTATAGCTATAGCTTTATCTCCATACCCCAAAGTTAATCAGAACATCTAAATGACGGAATTACAATGGAAAATTTCCTTCTCAGCTCAGAAAGGTCTACACTGTCGGAATTGTTAACCTGTGCACGCATTTCATCAATAATTGAAGGGAAAATATAAAATTAGTATGTAGTTTTTTCCAAAAAAAATAAGATGCGTAAAATAATGAGAAGAATCCCTCCCTGGACGCCGTACCTCACACTGCACACTGTGGAGTAACCTGCCATTGACTTGGGTTGAGAGACAACCAACAACTTCAAGTCCTTCTTCTAACAGAAGTTCCAGCAAATTTGAAAGTTGGGGGCCTTCCTCTTTGAAGCCACTAGCGATTTCAATTCCCACAGCTCCATTATTGTGATGGACAGTGAAACTACAAGATTCATGCTTGGTCTCATGGCTTTCGGGTTGGTTGGGATCAATGGAGACTTTGTTCTTTAGTTCATCCCTCTTGTAACTCAGTTCTTTGATATTCTTTTGCAAGTGGTGTATGTAATTCACTGCCTGATTCATTTGATCAGATAACGAACGCGTTCCCTGAAACCCCATTAGAATAACCCTAACGTAAGAAGACAATTAAACTAAAAACGTTTAGGTACATCATCCCTAAAAATCCAACTGGAGTTATTATGTGAAATTGATTCATCACACACACACACACACACGAAGAAAAAGAAAAAGAAAGAGAGAAATTTCTTAAAAATGGAAAAAAGATGTTTCACCTTGATGAACTCAAGAGGGAGAAGGGATCTAAGAGAGGCATGAAGGGTAGCCATTTCTTGCCTCCTTTGTCTCTCAATCTCTCTGTGAACCATCTTTTTTGTATGTTCGTTGGAATTAGCGTGACTGGTATCAGCCCCATCGTAAGATGATTTCTTTGGGAAGCTAGTACGCGATTTTTGATCGGAATAACTGAGAAAGTGAGAATTATCATGATGATCGAGAATCAGATCTTGTGAGATTTTGTGTTGCTGGTGGAGACCATTAGAAAACTGGATAACCAGCTCATTGCCGCGTTGTAAAGGAAACATGTCTGGTCAGCTCAACGAGTGTTCCGAATTGTATTAGCTATATCCTCAATTTTGGCTACGAAGGCTAAGGAAGCAGGCAGATACATGTGTTAGTGAAGAGGGTTAAGGTAATGTCTTGTTTTCTTTGAAAGGCGAGGAGTAGGGGCCTTGTGAGCCAAAAATTCCTCCATAAATCCACTCAGAGAAAGTGATAGTTATGGTAATTATTTGAGGGTACTGTTTAAAATAGCAACAGCTACCCCACCCATTTGCTTTCACATATCAAGCATTTATTTAACTAAAAAGAATAGGAAAAATATATGTATGTATAATGTGATAAAAAAAGAAAATAAACAATGGATATAAGAGAAAGTGAGTGTGAAATATAATAATTATAAATAATGTTTTTTATTACTATTTAACAAATGCTAAATAATTATTCTTAAGATATTGATTAGTTTTTTTTTATTAAAAACATATTAATATACTCCTAACATGATTTTTAATTAAAAAATTATATTTATTATTTTGAATAAATATTTTAAGGACTATGATTAATAAGAGGTTCCTTTTTTTCTTCTTGCTACAAGGCTGCTTTTCTTTTGATTTATTTTCCTTTTGTACTAAATATGTTGATTACCAAAATGTTTGGCCTGTGGCTGATGACTAATTTTTAATTACACCCGTTTGCTTCCACTTCTTTTTCTAGTGTGGTACATTGTTGTTTGAAATAATTAATTAGATAAACCCGAGAATTGCACTAATCAATTTAGTTTGAATGAGATTATTTTTTTCGAATTCAAAATAAATTTCATTAATAAATTTTGATTAATTTTGTTTTAATATCAATTCCAAGATTTAATAATTTATCATTCAAATCATTTAAGTCCAACATCTTTCACTCCCTCCTTTATGTGCATTATATAACATTTTTTCAATAAAAAATAAATATTCAAACTGGTTAACTAAAATTTTTCCTTCTATTTCTAACAAAAAAATTATGCTCAATGTGATCCATCTACCTATACAAATTTTATTAACCTAGTTGATTCTGTTTGGGTTTAACAAAAAAAAAATCCTATAAAATCTGTATATACAAAAATATCCTCTAAAATTTAATCAAATTAAATAATTCATATTTGTGTTTATTAAAATCAAGTTCAACATATCGATCAACACCCTACCTTTAGTCGCAGAGGAAGAAATAATAAGAGTATAGAGAAGATAAATTTATATAAATCTATTCAAAAGGCATTGAGTTTTATTCGCTAATTCGAATAACTCAACAAAATAATTAGGTTTGGTCAATAAATATTAAATAATTGACGTCATTTTTTTTCATTGGGCAATCGTTTAAACAATCAAATTTAATTTTTGAAAAAAAAAATCGTCAAATTTAGTTTGATCACTATTCTATACCAACCATAATTTCCTTTTTACTTTTGGGTTTTTTCTGGTCAACTTTAAATCTAAGACCGACAGAACAATAAATTGTCCATCATTAAATTTTCTGTCAGCGTGATCTTTCATGAGTACTCATTTCTTTTCTCCCAAATTTTTAATTACTTGTTTTGTACAATCAAGTTACACTTAAACTAGTAAAGTCACCACCATTAACACACGATCTGAATCAATTCTATCATCATTGTCGGAAGGAACCTTTGATTATTTTGTTAAAAAGTTATCGGTGAAAGGTGATAGACGGAACCTGCCTCCCCATTTTTCTTAAAAAACTTATTTTATTTTTAAATAAAAAAAATGTAGTTATACAATACTTACAACTCTAAAGAATTTATACCTGAAGATAAACATCTAGAAAGAGTAAAAATAGCACAATTAACTATGTATATGTTGAAACTACTTCTATCATAATTCTGTAAACACAAAATGGCTTTCCTTTCTCATTCCACAAAAGACGTATAACTATAACTACATTAAAAACGTTCTAATTTCCATTCTATAATGTCCACCAACTAGATAATTAACCCGACTTATGGGTTCTGTTTTTTCCTGCGTAATCCAATATGTAAAATAAGGGACTTTTCCCTTAGGGTGTTTAATTAGGATATATAAATGAGTTTTATAGAGTTATTTATTAAATAATACTTTCACACCCATTTTAATCTAGTATGATATGGAATGTGTTTCGGTAACAGTTTAATTCAATATTTATTTTATACATTTTTACTGCATAAAAAATTTGTATTACAAAATTTATTAACTTATTAAAAAATTATTAAAAATAAGATGAAAAAACATAAAATTTGTAAATTATTTTTACCGATATAAACTCATCTAAACACTCCATAGTATTCGGTGGTCCATGCACAGTGGCCGAATCACAACTCTTCATAATTTATCTTTTTATTTTCGATAAAATATATAAACTATCAAAATTCATTTAATGGGACAAACCGCTATAAGTAGTTTTTTTTTTCCAAATTAAAAATAAATTAATAAAATAGAACATTTAATTTTTTGTTTGAAGTATTTTTTTACTACGTCATTTTAACTGTTGGCTTTATAATGTCAACATTTTATATTTTTAATAATAAAAATAAATATAATTTATACAAAAACAGATATTTTTTTATTATTAAAAAATATATTTTAATAAATTGTTTTTAATTTTGTCTTATTTTAGAAAAAAAAACGCTATAAGAACAGAATTTCCTGTACGAAACGAAATAAACATTTTTTTTTTCATTTTATGTGTGGTAGCTGACTCCACGTCGCCGTGCTACTTTAGATGCACATGAAGCTGCCACGTCACTTTGTCAATACATATAACAATGCTTGTGAAAAGAGCTTAGTGCTTTACGATAATCTCGTTGCACATTATATTAATGATAATTGGTGGTTATAATGGTGTTTACGACTCTAGAACCCGGCGAGGCTTTGATCCACATAATCAGGTCAAAAGTTGTGGCTCCAGATTAAAATATCTAAACATAAATTACCATTTGCAATTAACTCTTCCTTAGGTAAAGTTGTAACTCTGATTCTAAAAAAGAAAAACAAGAAAGGAATCAATTGACTCAATTTGAACTCTAAAAGGTGAAGTAATAAAATAATGTTTAAAATTATAAATATCACACACATTAGTTCTTTTACCTGTTTAAATTAATAACTTTAAAGATTAATTTCAATAACTAATAATTTTAGTTGGGATTTTAATTTATATAATTATTTTTTAAAAGTAATCATATATTGGAAAATAAAAGTTAAAATATGTCATGTTTATATTATTGCGTGTTTATTTATTTTTTGAACTTAATATTAATATATCATCAGTATAAAAATTTTATATTAACTAATTAAATATATAATAAATATAATTTTTTAAATTAAGTATTAAAAAATTAATAATTTTTATTCATACAATTATTTATAATTAGATGGTAATATATTTACACTGGTAATCATTTTTAATTGATGTTCATCTCTTTTGTACCTTTGTCTTTCTTTTCGTTTGGTCAAGGTGCCTTTGTCTATGATTGCAGAGTTAAGTACAAGTTGTCTAACAGACATTTGACAAACGAATAATGGGCCCAGGGAAACAGTGATCGAGAGGTAACAAGAATATAAACTAAAAAGGTACATCAAACGTTTAATACAACAACAATAATATTTTTAAGGGCTTTTTTATATTTAGTTTATTTTTTCATTTTTTTATTACATCACTCATCATATCATTTTTTTTTATCATATCTCTCTTCCTTAAACCCAAATAACACTCTTTAGAGGAATGTCAAAATATCGCCATGCCTAAAATAAAAATAAAAAGTGATAGGCTTTGTATTATTATTTTTAGCTTTTCTATGTGATTTTGATTTTAATTTATTACCGATGTAAATTTTTTTATATAAATAATCAATTATTATATATAATAATTATGATATTTGAATTGATTATTACATAAATTCATAATTTTTGTTAATATGGTAATTTACAACTAGATGACAGTATAAAAAATTACACAACAATTATATTTTAATTATTTGTTTTTATATTTCACACATATGATAAAATGTTGATTAATGAAAATAAATAAATATCAAATAATCAAAGTTTGTAAAATAAAATAAGAACATTAGGAATAGAAATTGCTTCAACATTACTTTAATATTTAATTATTTATATGAAACGATCTTTTTAGACTTGATTTTATCGTATTAGAAATTCAGTAAATTTAATATATAAATTTAAACATTACATATATAGTGGCAGATGAGGTCAATGCAGCTTTGATAGTGTTATTACATGTTTTATTAATTGATTATGGGATATGTATCTTTTGCAATCAAGATTCTTTCTGATTTGTTTTCTTCTAGTCTTTTTTTTAACGTTTTTGAAGATTGATTTGTTTTTAAAGATTGGTCTGAATATTGATCAATGTTATAAGAATTGAATTGATCAAACTTCATAAATAATAACTAATTTTTATTAATATTGATCAATCTTAAATCCTAAATCTTAAATTAATTTTACACCCAATTGACTAATCGCAAAAAAAATTAACTAATCTTCGTAAACCGTTAGATGGGGCACATATATGATTGTGAATTTTGCGAGAGATAAGATTCAGAGAGCTAAGTATTCCGGTTGACTTTGTTTACTCTCTATGTAATTCCCTGAAAGAGGAATTATGTATTTAAGTATTAGGTTTTCAAAATCAAAAGTTTAAGATGTTTTACAATATACAGTTAAAAGTAAATTTTATTAACATAAAGTTTTCAAGGATATTAATTTTAGTAAAAAAATTATAATTATTAGTTTTTTGGAAAAATTATAAAATTTAGTTTGAGTTGAACTAATATGAAACACAGTCCAATATCTAACTTTTATAAAATCTGACCCAGCTTTAAACAAATTAAGTTATCAAACTGTGGACGGGTCTTACCAAACATTATCCCTACCAAACATTTATTCGCTCGTTTTTATAGTGAACGGTATCAAAATTGACGAACTTAGTGTTGGATCGATCTCACTGCACGCCGCCATGCCGTGTGTGTGTATAT